TGTTGTTTAATTTTTGGATGTTGGACCATCCTCGAACTCCTGTTATAAATCACTCTTGGCTGTGACATAATCCTTTTGATGTATGGTATTGTGGAATTGTGGAATTGGGTTTGCTAAGATTTTATTGAGAAATTTTTGCATGTGTGTTCATTATTGGAAACTAGTTGGTAGGTTTCTTTTTTTGTGTTGTCTTTGTTTGGTTTTAGTATTAGAAAAATATTGGCCTCATAAAATGTGTTTGAAAGTATTCTTTCTTTCTCAGTTTTTTTGAAGAGTTCAAGCAGGATGGGTATAAACTCATCCTTGAAGCTTTCACAGAACTTGTAAAACTGTCAAGTCCTGGACTTTTGGTTTTTTGAAGAGTTTTTGTTAGTGTTTCAAGTTCCTTGCCTGTTATTGGTCTGTTCAGGTTTTCTATTTCTTCCCTCCTTAGTCTGGGAAGATTTTATAATTTTAAGAATTTCTGTCTCTTCTAGATTATTATACATACTAGAATGAAAGAAAATGATACAAATTAGAGCAGATATAAGTGAAGTAGAAATAAAACGGCAGTCCAAAGGATCAACAAAACCAAAAGAGGGTCCTTGGGAAAAAATTAACAAAATAGACAAATCTTCAGCTAGATTAACTAAGAAAAACAGAGAGAAAAATCTAATAAATAGAATTGGAAATGAAAACAAAAAATTACAACATATACTTTATAAATACAAAGGATCATAAGAGATAGCAATAAACATCTATATGCCAGCAAATTGGAAAACCTATATGAAATGGAGAAATTCTTAGAAATCTACAACATTCCAAAATTGAACAAGGAAGAAGTAGAAAACATGAACAGACCAATCACAAGCAAGGAAATTGAAACAGTAATAAAAAGTCTCCAAAAAAACAAAAGCCTGAGCCTAGATCATTTCACCAGTGAATTCTATCAAACTTTCAAAGAGGAACTAATATTATTCTTCACAAACTCTTCCAACATATAAGGTAGAAAAGCTTCCAAACACATTTTATGAGGCCAGTATTACTCTCATACCAAAACCTGACAAAGACATATTAAAAAAAGAAAAATTACAGACCAATTTCAACAAAATATTGGCAAACCAAATTCCACAATACATCAAAAAGTTCACGACCAAGTGGAATTTATACCAGGAAAATAAGGACAGTTCAACATCTGATAATCAATACAATTCAGCACATCAATAAAAGGAAAGATAAAATTCACATGATTTTATCAATAAATACAGAGAAAGTATTTGAAAAGATTTAGCATTCATTTATGATTTAAGAAAAACTCTTTAAAAAGTGGGGATAAATGGTACATTCCCTAACATTATAAATGCCACATATGACAAACCCACAGTCAACATCTTACTCAATGGACTGAAAGATTTTCCTCTAAGATTTGGGGCATGACAAGGATGTCCAGTTTCTCCACTACTATTCACCACATGATTGGAAGTTGAGGATAAAGCAATCAAGAAAGAGAAAGATATAAAAGGAACCTCAGTTGGAAAAGAAGTAAAACTGTAACTATTTCATGATGACACGATAATATGCTTGGAAAATGCTTAAAACTCCACTAAAATAATTGAAATAATAAATCCATTTACTAAAATGGCAATGCTCAAAATCAATTTGCAAAAATCAGTTGTGTTTCTATATGCAAACAATAAGTTAGAAGACAAAGACATTTTAAAAAGTCCCATTCACAATTGCAATTAAAAGAATTAAATACTTGGAGTAAACTTAATAAAGAAAGTGAAGGACCTATATTATGAAAACTGTAAGTAGTGTTAAAGGAAATAAAAGACAAAAAGAAATAGACAGATATTCATGGATTGAAAGAATTAACATTGTTAAAATGGTCATCCCACCCAAAGCAATATATAGATTCAATGTAATCTCTATCAAGACTTCAGTGACTTTATTAAAAGATATAGAACAAACAACAATGAAATTCATGTGGAACTAACAAAGACCACTAGTAGCCAAAGCAATCCTGACAAAAAGTGAGGAAGAGTGTGGTTATCACATTCCTAGACTTTAAACTATACCACAAAGCTATAGTAATCAAAACAGCATGGGAGTGAAAAAAAAACCAGACACATGGATCAATGGAATAGAGTTGAGAGCCCAGAAATGAACCTGCACATGTATGGATAGTTAATCTACAACAATGGAGCGAAGAGTATGCACTTGAGGAAAGAAAGTCTCTTCAACAGACAGGGTTGGGGAAACTGGACAGCCACTTGCAAAAGAATGAAACCAGACCACCATCTCACACCTTACACAAAATTAACTCAAAATGAATTTATAAAATGGATATAAGACCCAAAACTATAAAATGCCTTGAAGTAAAAATAATCAAAATACTCCATGATTTTGGCTTCAGAAATGTCTATGGGGATTCTTCTCCAGTGGCAAGAGAGCAAAAGCAAATATAAACAAATGGGATTACATCAAACTGAAAAGCTTCTGTACAGTGAAAGAAACTGTGTTAAAACAAAGAGAAACCCTACTGAATGGGAGAAAATACTTTAACATAATATATCTGACAAAGATCTGATATCCAAAATGTATTATAAACATGAGCAACTCAACAAAAAGAAATTTAAAAATGGGCAGAAAAGCTGAGTAGGCACTTCTTCAGGGAAGATAGATAGATGGCCAATAGACACATGATAAAAATGTTCAATATCACTTATTATCAAGGAAATGCAAATCAAAACCACCATGTGATACCATCTTATACTCTTGAGAATGAACCATGTCAAAAACACCAGAAACAACAAGTGCTGACAAGAAAAAGGAACATTCTTACACTGTTGGTAGGAATTTAGACAGTTCCAGTCCTTACCGAAACAGTATGGAGGCTTCTCAAATATTAAAATAGATCTACCATATTAGACAGCAATTCCATTTTTAGGTGTCCACCTAAATAATGTAAAAACACTCATTCAGAGGCATATATGAACTCCTATGTATGTTTCAGTACTATTTACAATGGCTCATTTTGATCAGAAAAATGTGGTATATATACACACTGGAACACTACTTATTCATAGAAAGATGAAACCTTGCCATTTGTGACAACATGGATTGAACTAGAAATGTAATGCTAAGCAAAATAAATCAGATGGAAAAAAGACAAGTGCCAGATGATTTCACTTACATGTGCAACATAGAGAAACAAAACAAAGGGTCACAAAAAACCAAACCAATAACACATCCTTGACAAATGACTGCAAAACTGAGGTAGCAAGAGGAGGAGGGTGGGGGCTAGATTAAGAGAAGGGAGGGGACCCAGTGGAACATGGAGAAATATTATTGGAGCTTCAGTGGTGGGCATGTGGGGAAAGCATACTAAATCACCTTTCACCTGAATCACCAGCTGAATCACCTTTTTTTTTTCAGTGAACATTTTATTTTGCGATGACTGTAGATTTAAAGTTGCATTTTATTTTATTTTATTAAACACACAAGATGTTTTATTGAAGAAGGGAAAAAAAGAGTGGGGATTAAGGACTGTGGTACACAGAAAAGTCTGACAGCCTCAGGCACAACCAATTTTTTTCCCCTCCTGCTAAATCCTGAAGCAGGAGATCCAGTGTTCAAGATATTTGGCTTGAGATAATTCAGACCCCAGACACCAGACATGAAGTGGACTCAATGGTAAGGATTGTTATCTGTGTTATTCCTTGTGCTCAAACAAAAATAAGTCATTTAAAGAGTTTTAAAAATTTATTTTAAAAGTGTATTGAATACCCTATTTCTTTTTGTTCTGCTAAAATATTTTCTTTGCTTCTTTTCTTTCTCATCCAAAACAATCACACACTACTGCTGAACAGTAAGGAAATGTACAAAATATCAAGTAACCTTAAAATTCAATCTTAAAAATATACTTTTTAATATGAAATAACTCTAAATTCACAGAAAGGTACAAGAATAGTGGGATCCTGAGCATCCTTCGCCCAGTTTGTCCAATGGTGATGTCTTGTACAATAGTGCAACATCAAAATCAAGAAACTGACATTAGGGCAACACTGCTTACTAGACCACAGGTCTAATTCATGTTCCATCAGTTTCATGTTCCACAGTGTGTTTGTGTGTGTAGTTCTATACAGTTTTATTAGATGTATAGATTCATAAACCACCAGCATAATCAAGATACTGTTCCACCACCATAAAAGGACTCACTCATGCTGCCTCTTTAGAGACACCTTTCCCGCCTTCCTCTAATCACTTATTTGTTCTGCACCACCATAATTTTGCCATTGTGTCACACAGTATGACCCCTTTCCTCACTTAATGTGATGTCTTAAAATCTATCCAAAGTGGTGTGTGTATCATCTCTGTTGAGGTGGTAAAATACAGTTGACATTTGATTGTTAAACCAACCCTGCACTCCAGGGGTAAAATGCACTTGGTACTAATGTATTGTCTTTGAATATATTGTTGGATTCAATTTGCTAAAATTTTCTTTAGACATTTTGCATTTATGTTTGTGAAGGATGTAGATCTTTAGGTTTTCTCCCCTATTTTTGTAATGTTCTTGTATGGTTTTAGTATCAGGCAATGCTGGCCTTGTGGAATAAATTATGAAGTAGTGCCTTCTCTTCAATTCTGTGGGCCAGACACACAGCAGGTACTCAATGATTACTCCATAGGTAATTTGGAGAGTGGAAAAATGAACTAACAAGTAATATATAAAAATTTTGGCCGAGGAAAAATGTCATATAAACACCAGCAAACACCAGGCTGTGGAAAGATGGGACATGATTCACATTCATCGTCTCTTGAATCTTAACTCTGACCCCTGAGATGGGAATTCCTGCTTAACAGGTGAGAAGCCTGAGAGATTATGATATGGCTAAGGTCACATAATTCTCACAAACTAAATCCCTGTCAGTCTTCTTCCCTCCTCAGGGAGTATAAATTCCCCTCAGCTGAAGCCATCTTTGCTGGCTGGCGCCAGGTTCTGGAGCCTGAGAGAAACCTCAGTGTCCTGAAGGAGAGTGTGAGGTGCTATGCCCTCTGGGCATCACTCTTGTGAGGAAGGATGTGGTCACTTCACGGAGGGTTCTGAATTGTCTGTATCGGAGAGCGTGGGGACCCTCTGATCTCTGGGACACAGGACAGATGATTATGGGAGTTGCGCCATATGCTTCACACAGGATGTAAGGCCTCAATAACCTGTCAAATTGATGTGTCAGGGTACAAATGAGGGACTGATCATCTATATTGAAGAAGGAGATGGTGCCACCTTCATAGTCCAAGAAGATCCCCACTCGTGTAGGGGGGATTCTCAGAGAGAGGTCAATTCTATCAGGATTGAATATGAAATACTCATTTTCTTCATTCAGTCTCAGCACCCAGTACCCATCGTGGGGAGACAAGGTCCCAGAACTCATCTTTCTGTTAACATCATCCCGGCAGATGCCCAACCCCCACTGCTTATTGCATGCCACATCCACCTCCCAGTAATGTTTCCCTTCCTGGAAACCCTGAGAAGCCACCACACACTCCCTCCAGAATCTCTCCTCCGAGTATGGCACATCTTGAGGAACGCTCTTATAGGTCACAACTTTCAGATCAGTAATGTAGAGATGGGGATCAGCCGTGTCTGGGTCCAGAGTCACCTCCACTGGTGATGGTTGAGGAGAAAAGATAAATTCCTGAGAAGGGAACTTGCTGGGCCCAGAGGTCAGCCCCTCCCACTGCAGTCTGGCTCAGTGGGGAGCAGGGAGGGTGCCAGAGCCAAAGTCTCCATCAGACACTGTTCACCCAGCCCCTCCCTCATGTCCAGGGCAGCCTGGGACTTTACCAATGCCTGGAGATGCCAAAATGTGAGATTCTAACTCCTGTATACTGCCCCAACCCTACCACTGTGCCTCCATGTAAACCCATTATTTGATTTTGTGAGAATTAAGTGACCCTACTATTCAGAATCCTCTCATCTATCAGTTCCTGCCCAACTTCATACAACCCCCCCATCAACCCAGGCAGGCCCTTTGTACTGGTGTCCTCAACTGCTGGGTCTTTACCTATGGCCCTCATTGTCCCTTCTAGTTCAGAGCTGAGAGGTGTGTCTGAGGGGAGCTACATCCCAGGGTGGGTCAGGACATCACAGATTCCTCATCTGCAGGGCAGATGGGCCTCAGTGTTCCTCTAGTCCCCAAAGCTGTTGCTGGTCCCCTCCCTCTCAAAGGCCTACCCAGTGTTCTGTTTCATTGTCACCCCCTTGGGTGTTGGTACCTGCATGTTTCTGGGCCTCTCTCAACTCTGAAAACAAGCAGAAAACAGGAGAGTCAGTGCTTATATGGAGGGAGGAGGCAGAGAGAGGGGAGAACAAGGGTGGTTCTATTTTTGAGTGTCATGGTCCCACCAGAGATCTGATAAAGGTTTGGGGCCTCTCTCTAGAATGCAGCCCCTTAGTACCTGCAGACAATTTCAGGGTACCTACAACCCTTCAGACCATCACAAACTTCCCTTTGCAAAGTCTCACATACTTCAGGTTGTCAGAATCCATAAGCTAGAGACTGGAAGGGAAGAGATAAATAAAGGAAGGGAAAAGGAATAGCTTCTCACCTGCCACTACATGCTTCCTTCTCCAATCTGAAACCAAAACACAGAAAAAAATTAAATCACAGAAGGGCCTCCCCAGTGGTGCAGTGGTTGAGCGCTGGGCTGCCAAGCTGCCCGCAGCATCTGCAGCGCCGGTTCGATCCCTGGCCACCGGCGAGCGCAGACCTCTCCTGCCTCCCACTGCTCCCCTCAGCAGTGTACTTCATCAGTCTGCCTGTTCTCTTCTATGCTCTGGCTCTGGTGAATTCTCTCACCCTCCCACACTTCTGACTGTACCCAGTGCTTGAATGAATGAATAAATAAATAAATAAACAAACAAATAAATCTTAAAAAAAAAATAAAATCACAGAATGGACCCAGAGGCAAGTGCAGGAGGAAAGTTCTATATTTGATAATGGTCTTACCCAGTTTTTCATGGGGTGGCATTGATGAGCAAAACAGAATAATCAGTGGCTGAAGCAAGCCCGGATCAAAGCTCAAAGTATCAAACCAGGGATAAGTTAAGCAGATGCCCTATAGATTGTTTACTATTTTGGGCCCACACACCCTCAGAAAACTAGAGTTATCTCCACAAAATGTACCAACAGGCAAAGTCTGTAGATAATTTTAGTAAGTTTCAGACCCAGTGCCCACTCTAAAACCCCAGACATCCAAGAAATTCTCATTAGTCAATGGATTGCCAGGTGGGTGGGCCAGCTCCTCTCATGCTTCCTGTCTGGCCTGGGGCCAAGACAGCACACAGATGGCTTCAAGAACTGAGTAGGAGGGGCCCAGGGGAACTGTGCTGGGGTGTTCGGAACATGATAGGACACTTACCCAATTCTGTCTGAATTTTCCCTGAAACAGAAACAGAGTATTCAGGAGTGTGCAGGTGTAAAGACAGCCCTGGCTCTTCCCTCAGAAGGGTGAGGTATGGGGAAGGACAGGACTCTCCTAGTGCTCTCCTTTGAGATCCACTCCCAAGCCCCTGTACTGAGCATCTCTATAAGTTTTATAGGTAATGAAAATAGTTCCTTCCCCAGTTCTGGGTTTCTACATGAGGTAGGAAGGATCTAATGGGAGCTGACATTTCTGGAAGACATCATTTTGGGCCAGCCTAGAGGGAAATGAGGAATGTAGCCTTTGTGCCCCAGGTGATGGGCTTCTGGAACCCTGACTAGAAGAACAAAAGTGGGAGGTGAAACCTGATCCTGACCCCACTGGAACCATGAATAAGCTTTATGGCTTATACTTCTCTCTCTTACTTACCCTTGATGAAGGTAATCCTCATGACAATGATACCAATGCACAGGACAAAGCAGAGCACTCCCAACACAATAGACACCAGGTAGAAGGGTGAGGGTTGGAAAAACATCTCTAAAAAACAATTCACAGACTCTTCAGTAATTGCTGAACAAGGAAGACAGTTTGACTCTCATTTAAGGAATCTTTTACCCCATGATGAAAAGGAAATTTTGGATCGTTTCTATGTAACTTGTGTTAGGATTTTATTTTTGTATATAAAACTGGACACAAAGTGTAAAAAAATAGAAGTTGGATTTTACTTTCTTCTCAAAAATTGGTTTTTTTTTAAACAAGCAACAACAAATGTTGGCGAGGATGTGGTGAAAAAGGAACTCTCCTACATTGCTGGTAGGAGTGCAAACTTATCCAACCACTATGGAAAGCTGTCTGGAGTTGCTCAGTCTACTAAAAATGGAGCTACTGTTTGACCCAGCAATTCCACTACTAGGTATCTACCCAAAGGACACAAAAACATTGATTCAAAAGAGCACCTGTACCCCTATGTTTACTGCAGCACTATTTACAATAGGTAAAATCTGGAAACAACCCAAATGCCCAAAAATAGATGACTGGATCAAGAAGACCTGATATATACACGCAATGGAATATTATTCAGCAATCAAAAAAGATAAACTCATGTCATTTGCAGCAATGTGGCTGGAACTAGAAGGAATTATGCTCAGTGAAATAAGCCAGAAGGAAAACGAAAAATATTAGATGGTTTTACTTATAACAGGAATATAGGGGAACCAAACAAGACATCAGTGTAAAAAAAAATAATAGCAGTACAAAACACAACAAAGCAAAAACAGACAATTACAAATCAGAGACATACTGCAGGGGAGGAGGAGGGAGAGGGATCAGAGGGAAGAAGGGAGGAGGACAGGAGACTGTGGTGATGGTGCACAGGTGTCTTGGGGAAGGAAACTATATGGGGACTCAACCTGAGGGGGTGAAGGGAAGAAAATATTGTTAAAAAAATTTAAAATTTAATAAAAAATTGTTTTTTTTTTCCTAAACACATAACATTTGTGCATTATTTTAAGTGGGCTTTCTTTTACACATTGTTGCTGTCATGTCACATTAAATGTCTGTCCATATCAACTTTATGAACTGCCATGCAATTCTCTCCTGGCTCTCTGGTCTGTACCACTGGCCATTTCTCTATAATGTTGCTTTTATTTTGATTAAACCAATCATCACAGCTCTAGGACATATCTTGACAAATTCGATATACTAAGCTACTTAGCTACTAACCAGCTGTGTCTTGGTGATTATTTGCCACTTGCTCTGCCACATAGTTTTACAATTGACATGTCTAACTTCTGAGAAACTCTGCTGAGATTTTGAATAGTTTCATAATGAATCTTAGAAAAATTCTTGGAAAAACAATAGATTTAAAATATTTTTTCTTCTTATCTGAAAGATGCTTATTTCTCCTTACTTTAGTTTTCTTTAGTGACTTTTAGTGAAGTTTTATAATGTTCTTTAATAAGAGCTTTTTAATATCTTGTTGGATGTACTCTAGTTAGCATCTTTATGTTGATATTGTACATGATCTGTCTGTTTTTCTGTCTTTGCTTGTGTTCACAAATGAAATTTATTTTGTTCATTGACCTTATGGTGCATGAATATGATGAGTTCTCGTGAATTAAAAGAAGTTATATATTTTTCTGAAGTTTTTGTATTTAACCCTTGAACAACGGTCATTTTATGTCTTTCTTCCTGAAAGTTATAATTATTTTTCATTGTCTTCTCTTATTGCAATATAATGTTGAATACAAATCTTTAATGCATTCACACTTATAAAGTTTCTGATTTTAAATGACATACAATTGTGTGATATTTCTTAGAGGTATTTTAGATAGTTTTTTAAAAATCAGATTAAGGAGGTACTTTCCTTCTTTAGATATTTAAGAGGATTCTTCTATCTGGATTCACAAGAATTTTGGTCATGATGGGTATTAAAATTATGATTTATTTACATCTATTAAGAAACTTAAGTATTCCCCTACTTAATTATGGTAAGAATTACATTATTATATATTCTTAAGTTGACCTAGATTACAAGTCCAGGAAAAGTTCAATTCAGTCATAATACATTAACTTTTTTACACACTATTGGTTACAATTGCAATTTTACATACTATTGGTTTAGGACTTCATATTTTTTGTTTCTAAATAAGTTTAGTCAATATTTTTTCCATACTGCCCTTGTGTTATCAAAATTATTCTAACTTAAGGAAATGAGTTTAATCTTTCTATTTTCCTACTTTTTTGAAAACTTGATGTAAGACTGAATTTTTCCTTTTTCTTGAAAGTTTGGTAGATAAAATGATAAAATGATATGACTGGTGTCTACTTTGTGGAAGAAATTTTAAATACTGATTCAATTTTTTCATGGTTATAAAGCTAACCTTGATGGTTATTTTTCCTTGAGTTAGAATTTATATTTTGTATTTTTCTAGAAAATCTTTCATTTCATCTCAAACTGAATACTCAAACAAAATAGCATAATGTTATTCAAACTGCCTGCCTTTTAAATTTCTGTTGCATCTTTACTTCTGCTCTCTTGTTATTTCTGCACTATTTAATTATGCCATCTTTCCCTTATTTTGATTTATGTTTTCAGAAGTTATCTATTTTAACAGCACTTTGAAACATTTAACTTACACTTTAAATCGCACCATTTGTTTTCTTATTTCTGTGAATTCTCTTCTTTATGATTTTTACTGTTCTGTTCTCCTCAAATTTATTCTAAAACAAATATCCATGCCTAGGAAATATATTTTCAGCCTTTTCATTTCTAATATAATGACTTGAAAATGTAATTGTGATTCACAAAACTATATTAGTTCTAGCTCACATATTATGATAATTGTGAATTCATTATCATTTTAGCTTAAGAATTTTCTAATTATTGTCATTTTTTTCAAATATCCCTCAGTTATTTTTCTAAGTGTGTTTTTAATTTTTGTCAAACATTAAATTTTTTTTTTTATAATTTTTTTTATAGAGGCATGTTTTATTTATTTATTTATTTGTTTGTTTGTTTGTTTGTTTGTTTTGTTTATACATGCACTGGGTACAATCAGAAGTGCGGGAGGGTGAGAGAATTCACCAGAGCCAGAGCGGGTAGCAGAACAGGCAGAAGGACCGAAGAACACTGCTGAGGGGAGCAGCAGGTGGCAGGATCAAACATTAAAATTTTAAACCATTAACTTTCTTACACTGTGATTAAAGAGCATTGCCTATGTGATGTGAGTTCTTTGAAAGTATCTTAAAATTATTTTATATGCTTGTCTTGGTGGAAGTTTGTTAATATCCCATGTGTGCTACAAAATAATGTTCAGAGGAGACAGAATATCTATTAAATAGAATCTAATATCTAATATCTATTAAAAGAATATCTATTAAATAAATCTGAATAATTTGTAGTTGAAATATTCTATACTTTTATTATTTTGATCCACTCATTTAATAAATTTTGGAATGCAAGATATATTGACTTTTCTTTATATTCTTGTGGATATTTGTTTGCATATATATGGATATATAATAATGTATATGTACTTATATTTTTATATTTTTTGGTATATTGCCTTCTTATATTTGTGAAACCAATCTATTTATAATGATGTGTTTTTCTTGAAATCTCTCTCTTCCTTTTCTTACATTATATATCAGCTATGAAAATATATATATATATATATATTAGCTATGGCTCTACTTTTGTTACTATTTGTCAGGAAGATCTTTTTCCACATTTTTATGAAAAGTGCATATGTTTTACATTTTTTGCTTATGCTATGCAGCAATGGGTATTTAAAAAACCTAATATGACATTCTTCATCTTTTCACTGGCAAATTAATTCCAGTTACATTGACTGTGATTCCAGGCATATTTGGGTTTACTTCATTATCTTCAAACATTTCAAAATCCATACTCTAGGTTATACAAGAATTCTCCTTCCCTCCTCCTCCTTCCCACTCACCTCCTATCCATACATTAATTTTCACATCTTGGTCCTGGTCACGGTGCTGGATAGAGCATGATATATTTCCAGTATTTTCTCCAACCCTAATGGACGTTTCCACATGAAACAGGCCTTGCAAGTCCGTGTTCACCTTCAAGTCTGAGGGCAAATCATGTCCCTGTGAACTTTTCCATTTAACTGTGGGTTGTGGGAACCAGCCTGAGGACTTGCACAGTAGCTGGATATTTCCACCATGTCCGAGAATGGAAATGAGAGGAGCTAAGCCCAGCGCTGGGGAGGAAACAGAGAAGGGATGAAAACAAAGATCATACAACAAGCCTACAGCTGTTCTGAGACAGATCCATGAAGCTCACAGACATAACACATCATCCTCTGTCTCCCTCCCATTCTCTTACATAGACTCATATCTCTGCTCTAAGCCCTTTCATGAGCTTTGTTTATTCAATGAGTATTTAGCAACCACTGTATTTGTGATTATTACTAATTACAAAATGTAATTAAATAAAGAGTCCCACCTAATGAAAAATTTCCTGGCTAAGCAGAAAGAAAACTGAAATGAATTTTATTGTGAAAAGTTCACATACAGAGTAAACTCTGAGGCAAGAGTGAATTAATGTTAGGCAAAGTCACAGGTTTTTGGAAATGACATTTGTGCTCTGCTATATCAGATGAATAGGGGTTTTGTATGTGGACAAGTAGGGGAAAGAAAGAAAAATGCCAGATAGAGACAAACCATGATGTGGTGAGTGGATATGCTGTGATATGTACAAGGACTTATGAACATTCTTTATTTTTAGAGTATAATGTGCAAGAATAACAAGAATGAGACCTAATAGACCTATGGAGACTGTTAGAATAGTGATGCAAGGAATGCAGATGATATCTCTTATAGACATTATAGGGCTACTCACTGGCTTCCAACAGGTAGGGGTTATTACTGGATCTACATGTTAGAGATACCCTCTGCAGCTCCATGGAGAAGGGACCCTGAGGATCCCTCAGGAGCAGAGTGGCCAAACATGCAGCCACTGAAGTCATTTAGGGGAGAGAAGCAAACCAAAATAGTGCAGCTACAACTCTGAATATTAAATTATCTTTGAAACCATAAAATGGCAAAAATAGACAAGGATCTGAATATTGAGCCTAAATAGATGATTGCCTGGTTAAAATGGAAGGAACCAAAGTCTCTTAACATAACCAAAATGTTGACATTTCAATAAAAAAAACATCATAACAATAACCATGAAAATATCAACTTGAAAATATATATATACAGTCGACTGATGCCAACACAAAGATGAGTCAGATGTTGAAACTATCAAATATGTGTCATAAAGGTGACTCTAAGAGTTATAATTTCACTAGAAACACGTAAAAATACATAAACTCTCTGTCAGTAAGCATTTAGGTCGTTTCCATGTATTGGCTGTTGTGAATAGTGCTGCAATGAACATAAAAGTGCATGTATCTTTGAATTAGCGTTCTCCTATTCTTCAGATATTTAGGAGCAGAATTGTTGAATCACTTGCTATTTTTATTTTTATTTTTTAGTATCATTAATATTCAAAATCCTATTTAAATGAGGTCAGGAGACTAGAGAATACAGTTCATGTGTAGATCAGAATCTACAAAACCCATAATACCTAGCCTTCTCCCACTGTTTCTTCTCTGGGTACAACTGTGGGTGGGTTTAGAGGTTATACAGGTCACTGGAAACAGGAAATAGAGAAATGCATACAACTTTCACCATGCACACATATTCCCCACCCATTTCCTGTGTTGGTTTGTTTCTAAATAAATACTGTTCATGACTTTACTACATGATTGCCTTTTCTGAAGTCAACATGAAAATCTCCATACCATTTCCATATAGGCTGCATCAATTTGTAATACCACCAATAGTTTATGAGTGTTCATTTTTCTCCACAACTTTTTACCAGCACTTATATGTGTGTGTGTGTGTGTGTACATATGTAAGTATGTATATGTATACATATGTATTTGGTATGGGCCATTCTCACAGGTATGAAGTAATATCTCATTGTGATTTTAATTTGCATTTCTAGTACTAAGTGGTATTGAACATTGTTTTATGTGCCTCTTGGTCATCTCTATATCTCTTTTGAAGAAGTTTCTACTAGATCTTTTGCCCATTTTTTGATGATTATATTTTCTGTTGTTGAGTTGTATCACTTATTTTTATATTTTGTAAATTGACCACTCATCAAATATCTGATGTGCAAATATCTTCTCCCAGGTTGCTTTTTTGTCTAGTGGTTTCATTAGTGGTAGAAATGCTCTTCAGATTGATGTAGTTGCATTTGTTTATTTTTGCTTTTGTTTCCCTTGCTGTTGGAGTCACATTCCCAAATACATTTCTGTGGTTGATATCTAGGGGTCTATCACCTATGTTTTCTTTTATGTATTTTATGATTTCACATCTTATATACATGTCTTTAATACACTTGAAATAATTTCTGTGTGTGGAGTTAGGTATGGATCTAGTTTCATTTCTTTTTTTTTAAAGATTTATTTATTCATGCATATAAGAGCTAGGGTACAGGCCAGATGTGCAGGAGGATGAGAGGATTTACCAGACACAGAGTGAAGAGCAGAACAGGCAGACTGACTGAAATACACTGCTGAGGGGAGCAATGGGCAAGACAGGAGAGGTCTGCCACACCATGTGGGTATCTCTGCAGCCAGCTGGGATTGAAGCCGGCTGTGGACAGCTTCACAGCACTGTGCTCAACTGCCTGCGCCACCAGGGAGGCCCTCTAGTTTGATTTCTTTGCATGTGGTTGTCCAAGTTTCTTAACATCATTTGTTAAAGAGGTTTTTCTTTCTCTCTATAGGGTTATAAATCCATTGTGAAATATTAACTGTCTATATTTGTATGAGCATATTTTGGGGTTTTCAATTTTATTCCATTGGTCTATGATTTTGACTCAATATCCTACTGTTTTGATGACTATTGCTGTACAGTATAGTTTGAAATGAGGTTGTGCAATTCTTTTATTTTTATTCTTGTCTCTCAGGTTTGCCTTGGCATCACAGTCTTTTGTGGATCCCTACAATTTTTAAAATTAAATGCTATGAAGATTTTGATAAGTATTGCACTGAATCTGCAAATTGTTTTAGGTTACATGGTAATTTTAATATTTAACATTTGATGTTAGTTTATTTTGCTCTCAAATTTTTTTAATTTAATGTAGTCCCATTTGGTTATTTTTGTTTCTGTTTCTTTGTTGTTGGAATCATGCACCCAAATACATCTCTAATAGAATGTCACATGGTATTTTGCCTACGATTCTAATATAGTTTTCATGTTTTCTGATTTTAGGTATAAATCTTTAACCCATCTTGATTTCATTTTTGTGTTTGTGATGTGAAATAGTAATGTAGATTCACTCTCTTGCATGTGACTGTCCAGATTGCTCAGCACCATTTGTTGAAGAAATTTTCCTTTTTCCATTGTATGCTCTTGGCTTTTATGTCATAAGCTAACCATCCATATATTTGTGATTTATTTCTAGGCTCTCAATTATAGTTTAGTAATCTTGATACAGGGCAGCAAGGGGCACTAAATTGAGCCAAGGACACTGACCAAATAGTTTACCAGTCACTGTCTGAGTTCTTTACCTGTGTGCACAATTGCAAGATTACTCAGGCTCAAGGAACAACAACAATGGGATTTATTTAACAAACTGGGAAAAACAAAGAGTTACTGAGGCCAAAAATTGCCATTTACCTCATCCAAAGCAGTGTCCAGTGATTTTAAGTTCTAAACATAAGCGTCTAAGATGCCATCTTCCCACCAGTGTGGACACAGAGCTCCTCTCCTAAACAATAGACCACATGCCCAAAATGGCATCTTCCTGCCACTGTAGAACTGAAGCATGCAGCAGCCAGACTATAGGCCAGTTTCCAAATCATGAAGACAATATAAGACATAACAGGAGATACTCTGAGAGCTACCAAGATGCCCCAGAACAGCACCAGACTAGCAACACTCAAAACAGCAGCTACAGTGGCCAAATGACCAGACAAACAGCCACACTCACAGCTCAGTGATGTGCCCGGCTCCTGGTCTTCGCCTTCTCTGCCAGACTGTAACAGCAGCAAAACTGGGAACAGTTTTAGTCACTTGAATATTTGCAAAGCCTCCAAACTTTTCCTCTCTGAGGTTGGCTGCTGGAAGCCTCCATCTTCAGAGGCCCACAACAGTCTTCTGGAAGATCAGCATGGTGGAGGCTGAAATTGCTAACCCTGAAATCGCTGAAGATCTGAAAATACTGAATACTGAATAATCCTGGGCTGCTGCTGCAGTCCCTTATATATCTTATCATTCGCTCCACCCCAAAATGTGATACTTTTTAGCATTTTTCCTTGGGCTATCTATCCTCACCAGCACCACCTATAACAGTCTTTGACTTCAGCCATCGGTTACAATCTCATGTCTATTGGTATTAAATTTCGTATTTTTTTTTTTTTTATTACTAGCACTGTATTTGAAGAATAGTTTGAAGTCAGGGGACATAACAACTCCATGTTTCTTTTTTTTTTTTTTCAGGATTGTTTTGTTTAGTAGAGGTCATTGGTGTGTTCATTCACATTTTAGCATCATTTGTTGCATTTCCTTGAATGATGACATTGAAATTTTGATAGGGATTGCATTGACTCTTAAACAACTGATTTTCAGTATAGATAAATAGCCTTATATTGGAAGAAGATGCCATCTAAGTCTTCATCACTAGAGAGAAGTTAATGCCTGCTTTACTAACTTCAGAGGACAGGTTGACCTTTGTCAGTATATAATATCATTGGTGACTTTAAGATCAAGCCATGTTCATTTACTGTGGGCCTGCTAAATGTACCATTCCAGACCCACCAAAGCTCCTTTCAAGTAAAACGAAAGTAGGAATCTTGATTGCCCTGGTGAAATGGGTATACATCACCAGATATGAACATGACCGGGAATGCCCAGAGGGCCAATGACTGATGTACTTTGTATCCCAGAGACTGATCAGTGGAATGTTTTGTCAATAAGATTGGAACCACGGGTGGTGATTGGGCGTATGATTTACCTGATCAGTGGATTCACCCTCTGTAAAGCCCTAAATAAACATAATATTTTTAGTTTTACCCAGATTCTCTTTGTTCTCCTATCAATAAAAAGGCCAAGATCCATTATATGACAATCCCATAGCCAATATCATTCTCAGTGATGAAAAGTTGAAAGCATTTCCCTTAAGATCTGGAACAAGACA